CCCCAAAACCCCAAAACCCCAAAACCCCTATTGAAATAATTAGATAAGTTGTGTTTATAATAAAATCAAGATATATAGGATTACAAAAATAATTTAAAATAGTTCTTAAGTTAAATTAAACTGCTCGGAAAATATTATTCTTAAATTGGGCATAATAAATAGTACTGTCTCTACAATAATTATAACTATAATCTAAGAATTTTATTGATATTTTGTTACAATAATGCAAGAACTTTCTGGCTTCAAAGCTTTCTTTATTTTTATTGGCAGTCTACTAATTTCTTTCTCGATAACTCTGTTTCTCAGATACTTTGGCAAGATTGATCACATTGGAATTCATTTCAGGAAAATGCAGAGAGGGAATAAGGCAAGATTTTTTGAAAAATACTTGAGCTTTATCACAGGCTTAATTCTAATTCCAACTATTCTAAATTTCATTAATGGATAAGACATTAACTTCTCTAATGGAAATAAATACAAGATATTTGATGATGATACCTACTCATAAGATTTGACAAACGGCTCCCAGGGAGGCACAAATTTATTAAGTTTAATTCTGGGTGGATTTCTAATGGGAGTTGGAACTAAAATGACAAAGGGAAGCACTTTGAATCATGCTATTATTGGCATCCCAAAGATGCAAAAGCAATCAATTGTCATTGTATTACTATCAATTGAAGTAGCTGTCCTAGTCTCTACATTCAAAAGCTATATTCCATTCCTCTCGATGAATAATCTTAAATTCAGTGATTTCTTCTAGTAAATTATGCACTACCTCTGCTGGATATTATTCTTATTTATGCAATTTACTTGTTTCTACCTGACTCATTAGACGTTCATGTGGTTTTATAAACTTTAGTACATTTTAAACTATATTTTTGGAGCTGTTCTCGGCATTGGTCTTACTTTATGTGGCTTCTGTTCTCCCTCACTCTTTAGATCTAGTCTAGCTGTTGGTGATTAATGGAACTCAACTGTTACGCTATCATTGATTAGTACCGTTGTATTTAATTCAATAAGCTTCAACCTCTACCTCGATGATGAGACTCCGAAATTTGAAAGAATTCTGGGGGACTTAAAATAGCCTAATAGAGAAGAAAAAAATATATTCAACAAGCGATTGCTGTTTGGAGCTGCTATAATGGGATCAGGACTTGGATTGAGTGGACTTCAACCAATGACTGCTTTGATAAATTTATTTACCTGCTTTCATGTGATTGTCATCTGGCTTGCAACTTTTGCTTCTGGCTAGACATTTTATTAGATAATAAAGACACTATTAGGAAGGATAAGAAATTAAAATGAGTGTGGTGAATTCCTGATCCATCCATATTAGAGGTGAGGTTATAGATTATTGCCTCTTTATAAGTATTAGATTAGATAATTTACATTTATATTCTTTGAAAATAATTAACCATTATGTTTAGTCTTAAAAAACAATCTATAGATTTTCTATACAATAAAAAACTTCTATGAATCATCATTCGGGGTTTTGGGGTTTTGGGG